CGGCATATAAACGTGATGACGTCGAAGTCCTCCTGAGGGACCCACACATGTCCACCTGCTGGAAACCTACAAAGACAATCCTGTTTGGAGTCTGGCCTCAAGACTTGATGCAGGATGTTCGTTGAAAGGGGGGGTGGGGGGGGCAAAAGGATTGAATGACGAAGACGGATCTTCTCTGACCCCCCCCCCCCCAGACTACACAGACAGAACTCTCGCTGACGCAACCGCCGTGATCCTTGCCGACCAACCCTTCAATATCAACGTAGATCGAATTTTTTTCCTCGTCGACACGAATCACAAAAAAAAAAAAGAAAAGACAGAAATTTTCCTATCGCTGCCAACGGTTTCGAAAAGTTTCATCGCTTCTTTTCCGTTCTCTTTAAACATTTGTAAAAAAAATCGTCTTCTCGCCGCGGTAAAAAAAAAAAAAAAAACTGACATGGCGTGCGAATATGATGGAAGACTCCGATAAAAGCGACGTTCGTTTCGCGGAGGGATTCTGTTTATATCAAGGAGGGGTGGTGTAGCGCCGTGGGCAGGGCCACAGAGAGGTGACCAATGGTGGGGATCAGATGGAAAGTGAGTTAATGTAAGTGATGAGATGAACAATGAGAAGAGGGGGGAGGGGAACAGGGGAGTTTGGAGGTGTCAGAGATGTGAAGTCAGAGGAGGACAGTCTGCCCCCATCACCACTCTACTAACCCCTCACCCTCCACTGCCAGCAAACCGTCCGAGCCCCACACAGGAAGGGGAGAGACACAGCCACCGTGACGTCACCTCCTCCCCGGACCCGCCCACTCACGGGAAATGTAGTTCTCTGCAACTTTCCGGCGCTAGAGGGGAGGTGATTCGGCTGCATTTCCCCGGGCGGCCATGTTACCGGAGCCCATAGAGGAGACTGCAGGAGGGACAACCAGAGGGGGGAATCTCACGTTAGCTGTCACCCCTCACCTCTGTGCTGCAGCAACATTCAATGTGAGTCCTGCCAATCAATAAACCTTTATATATATTTTATACAGGGCTAGCAGAGGTGGAGAGTTTTATTATTCCTGGAATTATTATTGTTATTATTATCATATTATGATTATTATTTGTAGTATTATATTTTTTAATATTGGAATAGTAGTAACATGACATCATTATTATTAGCAATATTATTATTTTATATTATGGTGACTCGTATTATTGGTATTACCATTAGAATGGCATTATTAGTGGCATTAATATTATTATTATTTTTATGTTGATAATGATTATTATTATATTAGGATATAATTAAATCAATATTAGTGACATTGTTATTATTATTATTATTATCATATAATTATTATTATGGCAATTATTATATCATTATTAGTGGTATTATTATTACTTTTGATGATGATGATTTTCATTATAATTATTATATTAGAATACCATTAAATCATTATTAGTGACATTATTATATCATTATTAGTAATATATTATTATGATAGCTTTTTTTGATGATAATTATGTTTATTATTATTAATATATATTAGGATAGCATTAAATTATTATTAGTGGCATTGTTGTTGTCATTATTATTATGATTATATTATTATTATATCATTATTAGTGGTATTATTATTATTATTTACTTTTGATGATGATAATGATTTTTCATTATAATTATTATATTAGAATACTACTAAATCATTATTAGTGACATTATTATATCAGAATTATTACATTTTATTATGACATTATTATATCATTTATTAGTGGTATTATTATTACTTTTGATGATAATGATTTTCATTATAATTATTATATTAGAATACCATTACATCATTATTAGTGGTATTATAATTATTATATCATTATTAGTGGCATTATTATTATTATTACTTTTGATGATGATGATTTTCATTATAATTATTATATTAGAATACCATTAAATCATTATTATGACATTATTATATCATTATTAGTGGTATTATTATGATAGCTTTTTTTTGATGATAATTATGTTATTATTATTAATAGATATTAGGATAGCAATAAATTATTATTAGTGGCATTGTTGTTGTCGTTATTATTATATATATTTATGGCATTAGTATTATATCATTATTAGTGGTATTATTATTACTTTTGATGATGATAATGATTTTCATTATAATTATTATAATAGAATACTACTAAATCATTATTAGTGACATTATTATTATATCAGAATTATTATATTAGAATACCATTAAATCATTATTAGTGACATTATTATATCATTATTAGTGGTATTATTATGATTTTTTTTTTGATAAATGTTCGTTATTATTAATATATATTAGGATAGCATTAAATCATTAGTGGCATTGTTATTATTATTATTATTATTATGATTATTGTTTTATATTATTTTTTATAATGATGATGATGACTATGAGTACTATTATTATGACCTTGTTAACATTGGAATAGTACCATTACATAGTTATTAGTGGTTTTTATTATTGTTATTATTTATGTTGATGATGATTATTATTATTATATTAGGATATAATTAAATCAATATTAGTGGCATTGTTATTATTATCATGATTATTATGACATTATTATATCATTATTAGTGATATTATTATTACTTTTTATGATGATAATGATTTTCATTATAATTATTATATTAGAATCCATTACATCATTATTAGTGACATTATTATATCATTATTAGTGGTATTATTATGATTGGTTTTTTTTTATGATGTTTGTTATTATTAATATATATTAGGATAGCATTAAATCATTATTAGTGGCATTGTTGTTGTTGTTATTATTATGATTATTGTTTTATTTAGTGACATTATTGTATCATTATTAGTGGTGTTATTATTATTATTATTATTACTTTTGTTGATGATAATGATTTTCATCCTAATTACAGAGCCACTGAGCATTCATGCAAACTTCAAGAGCCTGCACGAGCTTTACAGAACACAAACGGGAAAACGTTGCCCCTCTGCGCCACGAGGCTCATGTACACTGCAGCTGACAAACGCACGTTCAGGAGCTTTTCTGCGGGTTTTTTTAGCAGCCCCTGAACCCTCCCTGATGTTTTCCCATGTGTTCGTGTCGTCATTTCCAGGCAGTTGAGTTTACAGTCGTTTTTTTTTTCTTTTTTAACGCACCAAACTTGCGTTCAGGAGCAGATTTTATCAGAGTTTCAAAAGCTTGTAAACGTGTGTAAACGCGCCCAACCGCATTTATAAGCGTTTGCAAAATTCTTTTAACTGTTCCATTACCACAGGCTGTCCGGAGCCTTTTTTCATCATGAAAAAAATGCATGCAAAGCGTTTTCCCGGTACTCAAAAGGACCTGGTACACCGTACTTTGAGATTTCTCATGAAAGAAAATATGTCAGACACTGCCTCAATAATTTCTGCACAGAAATGAGCCGGAACACATCCAAACACCACAAAATAAATAAATAAATAAAATTTAAAAAAAGACTGATAATCTCAACACATACTGCTCTCGCTTCCTGACATCATTGCTTACTACGTGTGAAATCTGTGAATTATCACAGAGATCACATGGTACAGGGCCATTCACAACAGCCTTGTACCATGTGACAAGCTGTGACCAATCACAGCTCACACAGTATTTCTCAATGGCTGCAGGAATGCAGCCAGAGTGAATGAGAAGTTATTGCTTTTACAGCCTTTATGGGTGTAAAAGCAATCAGTGGAAAAAAGAAAAAAAAATCTTCATCACTCGCACAAGTAGTACAGAGTCACTATGGTGACCCTGTACTGCTAGGGTGACGGCATGTAAAAAAACAAAAAAATAACAAAACATAAATAATAATCTAAAAATGTAAAAAAAAATGTTTTAAAAATTATAATTAAAATTATATAAAAAATAAAAAAAATGTAAAAAAATTTAGAAAAATTATAATTTTTGGTTATAAACTAATTTGGGTTATTTATTTATTTTTTTTAACTAAAAAGACAACTGAATAAATTTTGGCCAAGATTAATGAAGAGATTATTTATTTGCAACATTTTATAAGAAAAAACACTTTTTTTTAACTTTTGGGACTTTTTCATTTATATAGCAAAAAAAAACAAACAAATCCTAGCGTTGAATAAATACCACCAAAATAAAGTTTTATCTCTCTGACTGGAAGGGGTGAAAGTATCCGGACTGGAAGGGGGGAAAGTGTCCACACTGGAAGGGGGGGAAAATGTCCGGACTGGAAGGGGGGGAAGTGTCCGGACTGGAAGGGGGTGAAAGTGTCCGGACTGGAAGGGGGTGAAAGTGTCCGGACTGGAAGGGGGTGAAAGTGTCCGGACTGGAAGGGGGTGAAAGTGTCCGGACTGGAAGGAGGGGAATGAGTCCGGACTTGAAAGAGGTGAAACGTCCGGACTGGAAGGAGGTGAAAGCGTCCGGACTGGAAGGAGGTGATAGCGTCCGGACTGGAAGGGGGTGAAAGCGTCCAGCCTGGTATGGGGTGAAAGCATCCGGACTTGAAGGGGGGTGAAAGCGTCCGGACTGGAAGGGGGGGTGAAAGCGTCCGGACTGGAAGGGGGTGAAAGCGTCCGGACTGGAAGGGGGTGAAAGCGTCCGGACTGGAAGGGGGTGAAAAGCGTCCGGACTGGAAGGGGTGAAAGCGTCCGGACTGGAAGGGGGGAAAGCGTCCGGACTGGAAGGGGGGAAAGCGTCCGGACTGGAAGGGGGGGAAAAGCGTCCGGACTGGAAGGGGGGGAAAGCGTCCGGACTGGAAGGGGGGGAAAGCGTCCGGACTGGAAGGGGGGGAAAGCGTCCGGAACTGGAAGGGGGGGAAAGCGTCCGGACTGGAAGGGGGGGAAAGCGTCCGGACTGGAAGGGGTGAAAGCGTCCGGACTGGAAGGGGTGAAAGTGTCCGGACTGGAAGGGGGTGAAAGTGTCCGGACTGGAAGGGGGGAAAGTGTCCGGACTGGAAGGGGGGAAAGTGTCCGGACTGGAAGGGGGTGGAAAGTGTCCGGACTGAAAGGGGGGGAAAGTGTCCGGACTGGAAGAGGGGGAAAGTGTCCGGACTGGAAGGGAGGGAAAGTGTCCGGACTGGAAGGGGGGGAAAGTGTCCGGACTGGAAGGGGGGGAAAGTGTCCGGACTGGAAGGGGGGGAAAGTGTCCGACTGAAAGGGGGGGAAAGTGTCCGGACTGGAAGAGGGGGAAAGTGTCCGGACTGGAAGGGGGGGAAAGTGTCCGGACTGGAAGGGGGGGAAAGTGTCCGGACTGGAAGGGGTGAAAGTGTCCGGACTGGAAGGGGTGAAAGTGTCCGGACTGGAAGGAGTGAAAGTGTCCGGACTGGAAGGAGTGAAAGTGTCAGGACTGGAAGGGGGTGAAAGTGTCCGGACTGGAAGGGGGTGAAAGTGTCCGGACTGGAAGGAGGGGAATGAGTCCGGACTTGAAAGAGGTGAAAGCGTCCGGACTGGAAGGAGGTGAAAGCGTCCGGACTGGAAGGAGGTGATAGCGTCCGGACTGGAAGGGGGTGAAAGCGTCCAGCCTGGTATGGGGTGAAAGCGTCCGGACTTGAAGGGGGGGTGAAAGCGTCCGGACTGGAAGGGGGGGGGAAAGCGTCCGGACTGGAAGGGGGTGAAAGTGTCCGGACTGGAAGGGGGTGAAAGTGTCCGGACTGGAAGGGGGTGAAAGCGTCCGGACTGGAAGGGGGGTGAAAGCGTCCGGACTGGAAGGGGGGGAAAGCGTCCGGACTGGAAGGGGGGAAAGCGTCCGGACTGGAAGGGGGGGAAAGCGTCCGGACTGGAAGGGGGGGAAAGCGTCCGGACTGGAAGGGGGGGAAAGCGTCCGGACTGGAAGGGGGGGAAAGCGTTCGGACTGGAAGGGGGGGAAAGCGTCCGGACTGGAAGGGGGGGAAGCGTCCGGACTGGAAGGGGGGGAAAGCGTCCGGACTGGAAGGGGGAAAGCGTCCGGACTGGAAGGGGTGAAAGCGTCCGGACTGGAAGGGGGTGAAAGTGTCCGGACTGGAAGGGGGGAAAGTGTCCGGACTGGAAGGGGGGGGTGAAAGTGTCCGGACTGGAAGGGGGGGGTGAAAGTGTCCGGACTGGAAGGGGGGGAAAGTGTCCGGACTGGAAGGGGGGGAAAGTGTCCGGACTGGAAGGGGGGAAAGTGTCCGGACTGGAAGGGGGTGGGGAAAGTGTCCGGACTGGAAGGGGTGAAAAAGTGTCCGGACTGGAAGGGGGGTGAAAGTGTCCGGACTGGAAGGAGTGAAAGTGTCCGGACTGGAAGGAGGAAAGTGTGAAAGTGTGTCCGGACTGGAAGGGGGTGAAAGTGTCAGGACTGGAAGGGGGTGAAAGTGTCCGGACTGGAAGGGGGTGAAAGTGTCCGGACTGGAAGGGGGGAATGAGTCCGGACTTGAAAGAGGTGAAAGCGTCCGGACTGGAAGGAGGTGAAAGCGTCCGGACTGGAAGGAGGTGAAAGCGTCCGGACTGGAAGGGGGTGAAAGCGTCCAGCCTGGTATGGGGTGAAAGCGTCCGGACTTGAAGGGGGGTGAAAGCGTCCGGACTGGAAGGGGGGGAAAGTGTCCGGACTGGAAGGGGGTGAAAGTGTCCGGACTGGAAGGGGGTGAAAGTGTCCGGACTGGAAGGGGGGAAAGTGTCCGGACTGGAAGGGGTGAAAGTGTCCGGACTGGAAGGGGGTGAAAGTGTCCGGACTGTCCGGAAAGGGGGGGAAAGTGTCCGGACTGGAAGGGGGTGAAAGTAACCGGACTGGAAGGGGGTGAAAGTGTCGGGACTTGAAGGGGGTGAAAGTGTTCGGACTTGAAAGGGGGGTGAAAGTGTCCGGACTGGAAAGGGGGGAAAGCGTCCGGAATGGAGTGGGGGGTGAAAGCTTCCGGACTGGAAGGGGGAGAAAGCGTCCGGACTGGAAGGGGGGGGTGAAAGTGTCCAGACTGGAAGGGGGTGAATGTGTCCGGACTGGAAGGGAATAAAGTGTCCGGACTGGAAGGGGGTGAAAGTGTCCGGACTGGAAAGGGGGGAAAGCGTCCGGAATGGAGTGGGGGGTGAAAGCTTCCGGACTGGAAGGGGGAGAAAGCGTCCGGACTGGAAGGGGGGGGTGAAAGTGTCCAGACTGGAAGGGGGTGAATGTGTCCGGACTGGAAGGGAATAAAGTGTCCGGACTGGAAGGGGGTGAAAGTGTCCGGACTGGAAGGGGGGAAAGTGTCCGGACTGGAAGGGGGGGAAAGTGTCCGGACTGGAAGGGGGAAAGTGTCCGGACTGGAAGGGGGGAAAGTGTCCGGACTGCAAGGGGGGGAAAGTGTCCGGACTGCAAGGGGGGGAAAGTGTCCGGACTGGAAGGGGGGAAAGTGTCCGGACTGGAAGGGGGGAAAGTGTCAGGACTGGAAGGAGGGGAAAGTGTCCGGACTGGAAGGAGGTGAAAAGTGTCCGGACTGGAAGGAGGTGAAAGTGTCCGGACTGGAAGGGGGGAAAGTGTCCGGACCTGGAAGGGGGGGAAAGTGTCCGGACTGGAAGGAGGGGAAAGTGTCCGGACTGGAAGGGGGGGAAAGTGTCCGGACTGGAAGGAGGGGAAAGTGTCCGGACTGGAAG